CGGGCCGGTGGCGGGGGCGCAGGAGACCTGTGAACCAGCGGCTGGAAACCGAGGGCGAATCTTAGCTTTTTTTTTTAACGCTTCTTTCTTTTTCTTAAACAAACAAACAAACAAAAACCCTCTCCTGTTTCCACTGCAACTTGGAGGAGCAGGGAGTGATACGAAGGAACTGACACAGAGATCTTATTTATGAATCTTGAAGTTCTGGGCAAGTCATTCAGCGAGACCCGCCAGTCCCAGCTCCGGGGCTCAGCGCCCTCCAGCAGCCAGCTCGCATCTGGGGGCGGGGTGCAGGGTGCACCCTGACTTTGCTTTGGGAGAAATGACACTACTGGTGGCCTGGACCCCGGGGGCCTCTCTCGGTGAGCATCCCCACTAGGTAAGCGCATCGCAGGGGTCTCCACTGGTCACCTGGGGGGAGGCACCTCCAGCTCCAAGGATGGGTGTCTGCAGTGGAGGCACGGGCAGTAGGGAGAGGTAGGAGGATCTGATTTTATCACAGGAAACTGTGGGAGACGGGGATGGAAGGCGGATTTAATTTTTTTTTTTAATTTGGCATTAACGGGTGGGGATGAGATGCACAGGGACCTGGGTTGTTGTAGGAAATGGTGCGGAGGGGGGCTGGGTACAGGTGTCTGGATTTTTGCAGGGGCTGAAGGGGGAGCAAAGTCTTACAATTTTGCAGCAACCTGCAAGGAAGCACAATGAGAGGTTCCGATCCTGAAAATGTGCATGAAATCGTAAAGAAGATGCAGCAAGCATTTCAGAGAAATGGTGGCAGAAGCACTTACCGCCCTGGTTTCGCCCGACCCCCGACACTGGCAGCGAAGGGCGCCGCTCGGCTCCTCCGCCCCAGGCCATAGCTGCTCCCAGCCTGGGCCGCTACTTAACACCGCCCCCAGCTCTGCGCGGAAGGGCTCTCGAATCGTAAACGCGAACGTGGAGCTCAATTTCTGATCTGCTTCTAACTGCTTCCCGTGGCTACAGAAGGAAGAGGCGGAGTGTAAGGCTATCCCCCAGGCTTGCGCTAATACTACAGCTGAACAGTGCAGCCTCCTGGGTTTCAGAAGGTGTCCTCAAACTTCTCCAACATCTAGCATTTTAGTAAGCATTTACCGAGTGCCAGAGCACGGTGCTGAGCGCGCTACCCGGCCCATTTTATCGTTCTAGTGCACCGCCGTTGTGTGTCCTATTAACATCCCCATTTTACAGGTGGCAAAACCGAGGCAAGAGAGACTGAGTCGCCTTCTCAGGCTTATGCAAACAGCAAACGGTGTGGCTGGGTTCTTACATTCCTCGCCAGGCTGCAGAAGAGGGAGGGAGTTCTTCCCGAGAAGTAGCCCTGAGCTTAGGATGAGAGAAACAGAGTTTGAGTCGAAGCTGCACCTAAAAACATTGTGCCCTGGGAAAACATTGCTCAAATGTCGGATCCTCAGACTCTATGTCTGTAAAATTAGGATATTAATGATTCCCCTGCAGAAGTGTGGGGAAAAGATCAGGAGGATCACATACAGGGACTTCGAAAGGTTCATGGGAAAATAGGATTAAAGTAACAGTTTATTTTGGCATTAAAAAAAATCAAAATCCATGCATAATTTTTCATAATATGCATTTTCCATGATTTTTTCAAAGATTCCTGTATGCAGAAAGAAGGCATATGGCGAATTGTGGTTGGGTGGTAGGGGGCTGGAAAGGTGGGTGAAGGTAATTGGATGAGAAAGAAGGTTGGAAATGAACACTAGAACCTCAGTCTGCCAAGTCGGGCTCTGAGCAGAGCTCAGTGGAAGGATTCTGGGTAAGCTCAATTTAGTATATTACTCAGTAATTATCCCTTAGGTTTTTACGGATCTTTCTAGAATGGTCACATATTACCTATCATTTGATTTTTTTTTTAAAGTTTTGTTGTTGTTGTTGTTATAGGGCATGTGCACTCACGAGAGAGGAGAGAGACAGAGAGATACAGAGAGAGGGAATGTGAGAGGACACCCCCAAGGAGGTTGGCCACGCTGCAATCCCCTGTCCTCCAATCTCCTCTCAGGATTCTGGGCACACATGCACACACCACCAGTGTGATCCTCAAGTGGTCTAGGACTTGAACCACCATCAGCCATGTGGGAGTCCAATGCCCAACCACCACGCCACCTGCTGGCCCCTCTCATTTGACCTCTGTAACAGCCCTGTAGAGTAGGCACTGTGGAGGTTATTCTACTAGTTCGGCAGACTGATGCTTTCCCCCACATTAGTTAATAGCCTCACGGAAAAGCTGGGATTTGATCCCAGGTCTCTTGCCTCTCTGTCCTGTAGTCCTTCCGCCGTGGACTGGCACATCCTCGGCAGCCTGGATTGCAGAGCAATTAAGGTATAACCCAGGTCTCCTGCCTCTCTGTCCTGTAGTCCTTCCGCCATGGACTGGCACATCCTTGGCAGCCTGGATTGCAGAGCAATTAAGGTATATATAGGCAAGTTCTATAAATATGTGAAACCGATGACTTCTAAACTTAGGTCTCTGACCTACAAAAATGGCAACTTCATATGGGTTAACCTAATAAGTTTCATGTGGATTAACCTCATCGATTATGTCTTATCTTGTTCCTCAAAAAGAATTTAAAGCAATTTATAAAGATCCACAAAATGTCAGGTAAAGTATGTAAGTTAGAAGCAGTGGGCAGGCCAGCAGGTGGCATGGTGGAGAAAGCAGCTGGACCCAGCCTCTGGCTCGAAGCTTCCTATTTATAAACTGCAAAAGAATGAATAGGATGTCTCCTTTCAGCTGTGAAAATCTAAGACCTCCTAGTTTTGTGCACAAGGCCTTCTGGTAAAGGTAGCAAGCCCTCCACTCCACTGTCACCTCCATCAGAGACGGCATCATTTCAGTTTTTAGATGTTGCTTGATATTTGTGTCTTCAGCACTTCTCCAGCCCCTGACCATGCCATGGAAGGATATGTTAGGCCCCAGTCCAGTGGATGAGTTAAACTACAGATAACCGTGAGAGGTGAAAGGGATGGATGAGGGATGGGGAGACGGGCCCAGTAGGGAAGGAAGAAGGCAAACCTTGCTTATTCTCCGTTTACTTCTCTTCTGAAACACAAAAAAAGAAGCACTTTGGGATTGCTTTTTAAAAAAATATGTATATATTTTTTTATTTCCCAAAGGGTACCTGTGCTCACCAAAGAGTAATAGAGGGGGGAGAGAGGAATCACCTTCAGGGGGGTTTGGTCATGCTGCAATCCCTTCTCCTCTATTTCCCCATCCTTTTGTGATTTGGGGCAAGCACACACACACATGTGCCTAGCATGCTTCTGAAGGGTCAGGGTCTGGGACTCAAACTCTGCAGTCGAAGGCTTGAGGCTCTAGCTCCTCTAACTGCCAGGCCACAGGGCTGACGGGGTGGGGGGGCATTGTTAATTTTTAAAGAGAAAAGTGTAAGGCTATTAAGAATATAAAATGCATGCAAACTGCAGTCTTTGAAATGAAAAGCGTAAGATAAATGCAGCATGCCAACAGTTAATGTTAGCCCAGCACATTTTTATCTGGTCTATGCAAGTGAGGTGAGAACCTGATTCTGTCTTCAGACAAAGCTTCTGCATTTTCATCATTTCAGGAATTTTAGCTGGGAGACCCACAGTGAAAAAATGCTCACAGACAACTTGAAATATCTCGCTGAGCGCATAGAATGTCGTGTCCGCAGGTGGGCGAGATGTTCCACCCCACTCAAAATGCCTTGCCTTTTTCCGGATCCTTCCTTAGGGACTGGGGGAGATTAGAAAGGAGGCCTGAGCAATGGGGCGGGGGGGTGGGGGGGAGGCCACTGATTGCAAGCCAAGGGAGGAAAGCAATCTCCTAGACACCGTCTCCATCTTCTTCCCCCGCTCCCCGTCTTTTT